TGTACACAAATGTCCAGAATTGCAAAAATTACATTTTACAATTGTTACTATGGTAATAACGAAAATATCCTCAATTGACACTAATTAGCAATTGCCATAGAAATTATGACATTACTTTTTACAGAGAAAAAGTGAAATATAACATTAGCTTTGTCGATGACTGTACCATAATTGGTACAATTTGGTTGAGTTTTTTAAAAAAACAAGAGAAAAATTTGGTCCACTTGTTTTTTTTTGTTTGTATTTCGAGATAAAAATTGCTCGAAACACCAGTCAAAACACAGTTTTTTTGCCATTTTAGTTGAAAATTTCCAAAAATTACTAAAATTTTTAAGAACTTATTGAAAAAAACGTAATCTGTTAATATTTCTACTTGAAAAAGTACAGTTGCTAACAAAATTAATGTTGAATAGCTAAAATATCAATTAGTTTTGTCGATGAGTGTACGCAAATTGTACTACTATTTGTGAAATAAGAAAAAAAGTTGATATAACTGCTAGTCTCGGCTATTCAAAATATTTCATTTATTCGTATTTAGTTGAAAAATTACTCGAATTACCAGTCAAAACATTGTTTTTTGTTATTTTATTGAAAAAATATTAAATACTTTGCCAAAAATTACTAAAAAAAAACTTTAAAAAATTGAAAAAACGTAACTTACATTTTAGTTGCAAAAGTACAGTTGCCGTCAAAAGTAATGTCATATGACTTAAATACGACACTAGTTTTGTCGATGACTACGCATACCTAATTAATATTGCTATTTGTTTGAACAGAAAAAGTGGAGAAAAAAGTTAATGTAATTGCTAGCCTTAAAAAAATAGTAATTTTTTTAAGAAAATACTGAAAAAGCGTATAATCTGTTAATATTTCCATTGAAAAAGTACAGCTACTAATAAAATTAATGTCGTATAACTAAAATATCACATTAGTTTTGTCGGTGATCGTACGCAAATTCTTGGAAAAGCAAGAGAAAAATTTGAAATAACTGCCAGCCTCGACTTCGCCTCGGCTATTCAAAATTTTATATTTATTCGTATTTCCATAAAAAATTGCTCAATTCATCAGTCAAAAACACTATTTTTGTCATTTTACTTAAAATTGTTTTTGATTTTGACAAAAATTACTAAAATATTTAAAATAATACGAAAAAACTTATTATACTTACATTTTTACGTACAAAAGTACAGTCGCTATCAAGATTAATGTCGCATACTCAAATACGACTCGGGTTTTGTTGATGACTGTACATAAGTGCTACTATTATTTATTTAAAATTCCTAGATAAGTAATAGAAAAAAAGTTGATATAAAAAAAAATCTCACATTTATGTATTTTTCGATCAAAATTTATCCTCAAAAATAAGTTTTTTTGTTGTTTTGTTTCGTTTTATTCGAAAATCATTAAAAATTGTTCAGAAATTTAATAACAATGGCTTTAATAAAAAAATTGTTGTTTTGGATTCGTAATAGTGTAAAAGTTTTAACAAAGAAGAAAACATAATGTTTTTATATTTTTTTAATTTCGAATTGGAAACGATTACAATTATTGATCAAGTCGCCTGTAATAAAACAGTTTTTCGACAATAATTTTGCTGGTGACTGTACATAAATTATATTATTAATATCTGTTTCAAATTTCTAGAATTGATTTAAATAACTCGGCTTCGCCTCGACTATCAAATCGCCCATTTTTCTACTTTTTCGATAAAAAATTAGTTTTTTCTTGATTTAGATTTTTTCAATTTCTTAGGATACCATTACTGCTTTGATTTTCCCTACATCCGTTACCAATTGTTTTCACCGGAAATTAAATATTTTCCCTATCCACTCTTCGCTCTCACCCCTCACCCCTCACACCCCATTAAGGTGCGTTAAACCTGAGATTACGTCGCCATGACGACCCACCATCGGGGCGTATCTGCGGCAACCAATGACGTGCCTTCACAGCCGACTAGATGATGTCGATGCCCAATCGAGATTCGACTTGTATTTACGGCACTGATCCGCATATTCACGTACAAATTGGGCATTTAGTTGACAATATGTGGTGTATTATGGGAAGACAGTTTCGAGTCACCGACATCTAGTCGACCGAGGCGAGGGATTCAATTGTTTTGTTTTTTCCAAGGACCGACGATTTTCGCTTGTTTCGGAGGGATAACGAAAGGTTAATCGTCTAGTGGCCACCGCAGAACACTGACTCAAATGTCAACAAATGTCAACGAAAAGGCCGCTAATCTACCAGAGATGGGGGCCAATCTGAGATTTTTATTTTACATATTATCAAAAATAAAATTATTACTAATAAAATAAATTGTCAAAATAACGTTTCCATGGTTTTAAATGTCAATTGAAGCAAACATATAAATAAAAAAAGCACCAGGTTCAAGTCACATGATCAAAAAAAACTTTATTCTTTAGCTTTTGTTTTAATTTAACTACCTACTTAGATTATACAGAACAGATATTAAGAACATTAAGCATTTTTTAAGAGTTTATTGTGGAAAAAT